ACCTTTTGCTGAGATCCACCCTGAGCCTGCCCTGACACAGCTCCAGCCATTCCCTGGGGGCTGTCCCTGCTCCCCCCAGAGCAGAGCTCAGTCCTGCCCCTCCTCTGCCCCTGCCCAGGCAGTTGGAACTGCACTGAGCTCTCCCCTCAGTCTCCTCTGCTCCAGCTGAACACACCAAGTGCCCTCAGCTGCTCCTCATTACTCTTTAATACTGACAACATTTTGTTCACCACGGCAGCAGCTTTGAGTCTGAACCATCTGGTGTTGGTTGTGCCACGTTTTTTGTAACTGCCTGGAACGGTGGTTTCCAACAGGGATGTTGAGGAGCAGGAGAGGAAGGAAATGGGAGGCCCCCTGAGCTGCTCCTGAGCTTCATTCACAGCCACAGCACTGTGATGTATTTTAGTGCAGTACCGTCCTTGCTGGAGGGTTTTGGAAGCCCACAAGTAAATAAAAGCTAAAACTTGGGATGCTGGTGGTTGTAGCACTTGTTTGAACATAAGAAATTCGATTTCCAGGCCTCTGCAGTCTCTTGTCACTCCCAATTCACTGCCTGAGGGAAGTGTCCCAGCTGTCAGGCTGTTCCTGGGATGCTGTCCTTGTTCCCGAGGTTTCTCTGGAGCTGGGCACAGACTGGCATGCCTTTGGTGCCTGAGGAAGAGCAGTGAACAGGGAGCACCCAGGTGAAGGAGGAGCTCCTTGGCTGCTGTTCCTGCCCATCACACACTTCCTCAGCAGCTACTGGGACGCAGCAGAAAAATCCTCAGGGCACAATTCCACTCCCAGGGCTTCTCCCTCCTCACTGAATGCAGGAAACGGGAGATGGCAGACATGTGGAAGCATTGCTGGGTCTCCTTGTAGTCCTTTTCCTCACTAAAACAGATTGACTTCAGCCCAGGGCTGGGTTAGGATAATCAGGGAATCATGGACTGGTTTGGATTTGAAGGAACCTCAAAGCCCATCCTGTTCCACGCCTCACTGAGTACCGGACACCTTCCACCTTCCACTAGCCCAGGGTGCTCCAAGCCCCATCCAGCCTGGCCTTGGACACTTCCAGAGAGAAGCAGCAGCATTTGTTTCTATTTAAAAACTTCTACCAGTCAGGTTTTTTTCTTGTAGGTGTGTCTATCAACTCCTATTCTTCAACAGAACTTTATCTTCCTGTAGCTGCCTTTTCCTGGGGGTGGATATTTTCCTTCACGGGGCTGAATTGTGGTTGAGATAAATCAGTGTGAATGCAATTAAATAAATTAATCCCAAGACATTGTAATTTCTCTCTCACATCCAAGCAGCCCATTATTTGGCAGATATGGACAAAAATACTAAATTGCTTCAAAATCCATCTGAGTATCAACTTCAGGGGAAAAAGTATGTTAGCAGTGTATGTAACAGAGATGTGAGCTGTGGCTCAGGATCAGCTCTTGTAGCCAGGAGGCACAAATCCATAAAATGTCCAGCTTGTTTTTCCTGTGATTTTGAGGGTGGATTGGGATGCTTCTAAATATTATCCATCTTGACCCAAAGTGCCTCTTAAAATACCAGCATTTCAGGAGGAATGGGCAGAATATTAAGGCTGGGGTTTCATTTCTCGGAGGAAAACCTGGGATTTCCCAGGAGCTAAAAATTAAGAGGGAGAAATCAAACAGAATATTTGATTTTCATGGAGTTTTACAGATTTCTCTTAAAACCCACCAGGGCTATGCAGCATTCATGGGGGGTATTTCCAGTATTCTCATTTGCCATCCAAAAAAAAAAAAAAACACCCACCTCCTTAAAGATGGATCACAGGTTTTAAAGACCATTCCTCAGAGCAGCTGATGGTGTTTATTTCTAATCGTCCTGTAATGTCACGTAAAAAATTGTTTCAGACATGTGCATTTACATCTTTGTGCTGAATGTGTATCTGCAGATATCTGGGGGATTGAAGGACTTTAAGGGTTTTCTGAAATATTTAATGGAAAGATGTAATCCTTAAAGCATTAATTTTGCAGCAGATTTCTGTCCCCTGGTGGGTGCTGCTCTGCCTCAGATTTAATGATACAGTAATTTAAAGAGACAGGCAATGGATTGACTTTCAGAATCACTTGATTTAGTATTGCTCACATGCTCATTAAATTTAGCACATTTCTTGGCTCTGGAAACCTGGAAATTTTTGTCTAATTCTCTAGAATTTAATAACTATCAGAATAGTTATTCTTTACTGCCAATGTATATTTTTGCAGTTGTATTTTGATACTTTTTCCAGAAGTCTCTAGGAAATAAATGAGGCTCATTGCACTTCCTGTAACGTATTAATCCAGGAATTTATGAGGGTCCTGTGACTGATATTTATGCATTTTACCTCCCTATCTCCACATGACTCATGGAGCAGTAATGTCCAATTTATGGACGGAAACCTGAGGTGCAGGATAAGTGACAGGACTTGCCTGCAGCCACAGAGGAAACCCGGGGCTGGAATTGCATATTCCACATGGATTGCCCACGTTCCAGAGCACATTCCAGGTCTCAGCCCCTCACCAGAGCTTCACATTCTTCTCATTGATACAAAATTCCTCTGAACGTCACAAAGTATAAAATACAGTATTTTTTTCCTCTCTGAAGCTCCGCATTCAAATTCCTTTTGCTGGTGTGCTTGGATCTGGTTTGCAGTGTTGCTGTTTTACATGAATTTCCAGGAGTTGGTAATTTTGGCATTCCCGGGCAGTTGGCCATCAGTGAGAGCCATCAGTGCCATTGTCCTGATCAGGCTGGGAAATGCAGCTGGGTTTGCCCTCAGTGATGTGCTTGTTTTCTCCTGACTGTTTTGCAAAGGAGGAATCTTAATTTCTTCTTTCCCGTTTATTTTCCCCCTCTGCTCCCGATCTGATCCCCAGGAGAACACGTAACTTCCAGGTTTAAGAACGAAGTGGAGCGGATGGGGTTTGATATGAACAATGCCTGGAGGATTTCCAACATCAATGAGAAGTACAAGTGAGTACTTGGCTGATTCACAGCCAAATGGCATCTCAAAACATCAAGTTTTTTATAGCAGATCACTGTTTTCAAGTTCTACAGTTCTTAATACAGGCCGATTGGAATTACGGTTTTTTTGTTGTTTTATAGAAAATATGCTTTTAATTATTGAGTATATTATCAGCTGATGTAAATTTTTCAGCTTAGAAATCCCAGGTTTTGGTGTGCTTGCTGGAGGACATGTCAGAGAATAAGCATTTTGAGGGAAGAAAGGGGGATCTTATGGGAGGAAAGAGGGGAGTTGGAACTTTTATAAACTGGTTTTTATTGAGTCTTATTCTCTAACTTATTACAAAGACACAGGTTTGAAAGAGTTAAGTTTGCAAGTGCTGAAAATAAGAGAAAACAATTCCTGAGGTCCTGAAAGCCCAGACAAAGGTCCTGTGTGGGCTCTGGAGCAGAGGAAGGTGCTCCTTGTTCCCATGTGGTGGGACAGGGTGTTGTGGCTGCTCCCTGTTCCAGCCCAGAGCTCAGCCAGCTGGACCTGTGGGTGATGGAACACCTCTTCTGCCTCGCAGCTGGTAGTTGGGGTCACTGCAGGAAGAATCCCTGCCTTGGTCTCTAAAAATCCCGGGAAGGAAAAAATAGCCATTCCTTACCCATTTACTGCTGGAGAAGGAGGAATTTATTGACAGGCAGCGAAACGAATGAGCAGAAGGTGCTGAACAGTGTCAGTTCTTACACTGCTGAGGGCGTAACTGCTCTGTGTCACTGATTTCCAACCCTGTGCCCCCCTTTCCCCCCAGGCTGTGTGGCAGTTACCCCCAGGAAATCATCGTTCCCGCCTGGATCACGGATAAGGAGCTGGAGAGCGTGGCAAGCTTCCGCTCCTGGAAGCGCATCCCTGCCGTGGTGTACAGGTGAGACCCTTGCAGCTGCTCCAGCTTCTTGTAAATGGGTGTGATGGCAAATAAAAGTTGAAATAAGCTGTAAATGGGAATTGTGGCTGGTAATGAAAGGTGCTCAGGCAGAACTCGCTACACGTTCGCTCCGAGAGGGAATGATGGTCTGCATTTTGGATTCCAGGCACACACTGCGGGAGCACTCGGCATTTGCATCTCCTGCAAATCATTCCTGGGGCAGTCACCCCAGTTAAGATTGATTTTTAATTTTTTTTTTAGTATGGAAATGAAAAAATGTAAGATGAAGACCTGGGAGATAAATGGCTTCCCTGGGTGGGTGCTCCTTTCTCTTTTCTCTCACTCTTACCTGGCTGATTCTCAGACTGCAGCATAAACAAGGACAAATACCAAAATTACTTGAAGGAGATATAAAACTCAATTCAGAAATTAATACATGGTTTAGCTCTGTCTATATATTTTAGATAATTTTCACTAGACAGCCTCTTGCTTGGGTTGAGTCCAGAAACCCTCCATTTAAAATTGCTTTTCTGAAATACCAGGTTTTGGCAGCTTCTTTAGTAAGAAATACATATATCAGCATCTGTTCTTTCAAATATTCTGGATTCTGTGGATATTCCATGGCTGCGCCATCCCTGGAAGTGTCCAAGGCCAGGTTGGACGGGGCTTGGAACATCCTGGGCTAGTGGAAGGTGTCCCTGCCCATGGCAGGGGGTGGGATGGGTCCCTTCCAACCCAAACCATTCAGTGATTCTATAAACCTGTCCTTTGAACACCTTGGCCCCTTCCCTGGTGTCGTTATCCTCCCATAAATCTTTAAAATCTCTTTCAAAAACCAGATGACAAAGGGATTAGAAAGATAATGAATACTGCTGATGCCCTAAGCCTACCTTGCCACCCATTCCTTGGGATCAAGTGCAAGCTGACTGTGGAGAGCAGGAAACTTGGCAAATCCATAATCCTGGGTCAGAGGAGCGAGGGCAGAGAGCTCTGGGCCACAAAACACTGTTTACCCAGCTGAAGGTTCTTGTCCTGGGCCAGGAGAACAAATTGGCTCGTGGCAGCAAACCATTATCTTTAAATCCTCCTGTCTTCTCTCCTTTGCCTTCCAAACAGCACAGGGGGTTAGAATGGTTTCTTTTGGAATGCTGAGGAGTTGTTCCATCCTCTGCCCTTCTCTGGGAGGGGGAAAATGCCTTCCAGTCTGTGCTGACTTTTAAAAATTTAGGTATTTTATTCTTAGGTTGCTGTATATAATATATGTTTGTATAAAAGAGAACAGTGTGATTTCTCTGAGGGTTGGGGTCAGCTTTGCACGCTGCATTTCAGGACATAATTAGAGGACACCTCACCTGCAACCACAGGGCAGCTTCCCTCCTCCTGTCACCCCTGCCCACAGGGAAAGAAAGCACTTTGTTCTCATTCCTGGGAGCAGCCTCTGTTCCAGGGATTTATGGGAGGGCAATTTAAAAGTCAAAAGACTACAGAGACTGAACCTGTCCTGTCCCTGCCTTCAGCTCTGTGCAGTTCTGCTGACACTCTTATGTGGTAAATCAGAGCTGGGTTTTCATTGCCAGTCTTCAAATCAGGGAGAGAAAAGTGTTTCTGTTTTTTTTTTTTTTTTTTTTTTTTTTTTTTTTTTTTTTTTTTTTTTTTTTTTTTTTTTTTTTTTTTTTTTTTTTTTTTTTTTTTTTTTTTTTTTTTTTTTTTTTTTTTTTTTTTTTTTTTT